GTGCATCCTGGTGCTGGACGACTTCAAGTGCCACAAGGACGAGGGTTTCATCGCCGCCCTCAAGAGAGACGCCAACACCATGGTCATATTCATCCCAGGCGAGTTGACGCCCTTGCTCCAACCGCTCGACCGCATGCTCAACAAGCAAATGAAGCGGCTGCTGCGGGGCAAGTACACCGCCTACAGCGCGTCGGCGGTCGCAGACGCCCGGTCGGGGAAGCTGAAGCCACCGGAGCGTGGGGTCGTCTCTACGTGGTGCAAGAAAGCGTGGGAGTCCGTCACCCCCGAGACGGTGAAGACTTGCTGCAAGATCTGCGGTCTCACGCTCGCGCTCGACGGCAGCGAAGACCAAGCCTGGTGCGAGCACAACTTCGGGGAAGACAACCGCGACCATCTCGAGGAGCAGCACGCCGTGTGGCTCGCTGAGCACCCCGACGTGACTCTCCCGCCGCTCAAGCTGCCGAAGGTACCAGGGGGGTTCGACTCCAACCCCATCACGGCTGCTCAGAAGGAGTTCGAGGGGAAGCTGCTGCCCTACGTCGCTTATGAGAGCGACAGCGAGGTGGAGGTCTTGGAGGGCGACAGCGACGTGGAAGTCGTGGAGGGGCAGGGGGGCGGTGGCGCCGAAGGAGAAGTAGTCGAACTTTGAATCATAGTTCTTTGGGATTGCCAGTGAGATTGGATGTTTTTGTGATGGTAGGGGCGCGGGCACGAAGTAGAGTTCAACCCGCCTAGGAAGTACAGTAGTAGGACGTTGGTAGCTCGTAGTGGTAGTTTGGTGTGATTTTTTACTTCGTTTTTGGTTTCATCTGCGTTTAGAATTGTTGAGTGGATGCCGTTTGCCGATTTGCCGATCTTGATTCTTCAGAACGAAACGAAGAGAAAAAAGAGTACAAATACCACATTTTTGAACATCGTCATGGCGCCAAGGGCAGCAGTAGCAGTGGAACACGCGATTCAAGCTCCCACAGTATCCGGAATTTCCAGCACAAGATGCTGGTGAAAGGGTATCACTTACCGCCAAACCTCACCGTACATATCGGCGTCTCCGCAAACTGTGCGGAGACGACGATACCTGTGCGATAATCTAGCAAATCATTCGGAACCCGCTTTTTTTCCGCACACCCTGTGCCAAGACCTCGATATGTGCCAAGACCCCGATGACTACGNCCAGCACAAGATGCTGGTGAAAGGGTATCACTTACCGCCAAACCTCACCGTACATATCGGCGTCTCCGCAAACTGTGCGGAGACGACGATACCTGTGCGATAATCTAGCAAATCATTCGGAACCCGCTTTTTTTCCGCACACCCTGTGCCAAGACCTCGATATGTGCCAAGACCCCGATGACTACGGTACGTGGAGGAGAGCGAAGGCACGAACCACAGGTACTACTGCCTGGCAAGCGCACACTGCCGCAGTACGAAGAAGTTGGTTCCGTGCTCCAGAGGAGACCGCAGTCACGTCAACACACACCTCAAGAAGAAGCACGGCATGCAGGGGACCGGAGGAGTAAAGAAGGCAGCCAACAAAAGGCAGACCCTTCGTACCCTACAGTACAGAGTTTTGTGACACCCCTCGTACCCTACAGAGATTTCACAGAAGTTCTGTGACACCCCTCGCACCCTGCAGAGATCTTACGGTTCTGTGACACCCCTCGTACCCTACAGAGATCTTACAGAAGTTCTGCGACACCCCTCGTACCCTACAGAGATCTTACAGAACTTCTGTGACACCCCTCGTACCCTACGGAGATTTTACAGAAGTTCTGTAACACCGCTTATCTAACAGAGATTTCACAGAAGTTCTGTGACACCCCTGGTACCCTACAGAGATTTCACAGAAGTTCTGTGACACCCTTGTACCCTACAGAGATTATCCATACCCTACAGTTGCGACCTGTGGAAATTTCGATAGTCGATACGTTTTGACAGCAATCAATATGACGGTTCCGGGTGCATCGATATGTATTGTGAGCAACGATAGATTGAAACAAAACACGCAACACATTTTTGCTCCCGCAAAAGGATAAAACTACAAGTCTTCTCGATGTATCGCTTCGACCAGCACGCTTTCAGTTGTTCGTCGATGGATATTGCAACGTACGATATGTTTACCGANCATCGATATGTATTGTGAGCAACGATAGATTGAAACAAAACACGCAACACATTTTTGCTCCCGCAAAAGGATAAAACTACAAGTCTTCTCGATGTATCGCTTCGACCAGCACGCTTTCAGTTGTTCGTCGATGGATATTGCAACGTACGATATGTTTACCGAATTCGATTGATACATCTTGGAGCAACGATACGTTGATGATCGTAGCGATCAATATCTATCTATGGTTCAATCACTATGTTGATACATATCGTACGCTGTAACTATTTTCAAAGCGAAAGGGAACATGCCCCCAAAACTTTTCCGCGCTCCGCGCGAAATAAATTTTATGCATGAGCAGGGTTACTGATAACGCCATGGGGGACGAACCAAAACAAACGAACGGACGTATCGATTGCCTGGCACGCATATCGATCGATACTTTCCGTCTGCATTGAGCCATGCGATATCAATTGATACCATTTCCACTAACACATCGCTTGAACCAATGCATGTTGATCGAATTTCTCCCAATATATTGAACCAAACGATATCAGTTGATACCATTTCTATACAGTCGTCCCCGCTTTAAGGACACCATTTTCAAAGACACTCACCGCTTTAAGGACACAAAAAATCTCAGAAACATGGTGCCCCGCAGATGTGGAAAAGTAGGGGGGGTGTAGTTTCTGGTTTCGAGAGCAAAGAACTTTTATTGCCAACGNTGATTTGTGAACGCCGGCGGGCCTGGCGTGTGATCGGGGACAGCCGTGCAGCGACTGCCCGCCGCGCAGGGCATGGTGTCGGCAGCTGTGTGGGTGTGTGATGTGTGTGTGTGTGTCCACGTGGTTTCCATATTGTTCGATTTAAGAGAAAAATCCCAGCTGCAATAGGAAATTTCTCTTAAATCGATTTTGATTGGTACAAGCCAATTCCTCTCTCTTAAATCCGTACTTTCTCTTAATAAGTTCTCTTAAACCGTAGCCGCTACTGTAACCTACATTTTCCTTGTGTCGTTTTACAACCTTCGATATTTCTCAGGTGCGGTACAGTAGGGGGCCCTCTATAGTGCCGGTATGTGTTCAGAGAGCAAAGCGGCACTATACCGGGCACCGGCACTATTCAGAGTACAGAAAGACTTGATATTCCGGTGGTGTGTGCGAGCCGAAAACACCGGCACTATTCAACCGGCACTATATCGGGCCACCCACTGTAGCGAGATCTTGGGCAAGATATTCACGGGGAGGACAACGCCTACAACATAAAATAAAGCAAATAATTAAGCCCATATCAACACCAGCGCACTACCGTCGTGTACATGTATGATGCGTAGGTCGTAGAACACCATCGCTTTCAGCGTTTTGTTGGTACAGTACGGGGAATTTCAAACGATGCTATACAAGTATGTATTGCAGCACAATAGCAGCAGTGGTTGCGACCTTCAAATCGCCTTGTGTCGTAGGTTGCAAACAACACCACTTGTGGTCGCCTTTCTTCTGCGAATGCGCACCTTTTGACATATGTTTCGCCTTCATTGGCCCCGGGGATGGTCCGTTAGTGGCCCCGGATTTTGAAGACACTTCCCCGCGTTTAAGACACTTTTGGGGGGAAAACGTGGTGTGTCTTGAAAGCGGGGTCTACATAAATCTTGGTAGATACACAATATATGTAGTGGAAGATATTCTCCCGTTGTATTGAACCCATGAATACATACCGATTCTAATTTTTTAGTAATGATTGTTCTAATTTTTTAGTAATGAAAACAGGCGAACAAGATCGACCTCGGACCAGTCAACGCCAATGATATGGGGATGGAGTGTAGACGCATCGTAGAACGCGTTTTCGTTTGAAGTTGACGTCTTGTTTGAGAGTAGATGTGACAGATTTGCGTAGAATAGGGTAAGATGTTATCATGAACGGAGATGAAAGGGCTTTTCCAACACGGAGATGTAGAATGGATCAAAGCATTTGTTGGATTTCAGCTTTTACTAGCGGACATCAACGCAGTAGTATTTTAGCAAGCTTACGAACGCATATAGGATACCATCAGGATTGTCATTGGTAAGTTGAAGAGGAGATACTTTTACGATGTAAATGACAGTTGAAATAAGTCCTACATATGTTGTTGTACTTCGTATTGGTTTAATATTCATGTAGAGTATGAGACATTAAGTGAAAGTTTTCTGAGGTACATGTGCAATTGTCGGAAGGCAAAAATAAATAAATAAATTGGAGCAATATACTCCGTAGTATATGCATTTCACATCATGTTGTCCAGGGTGTGGAAGACAACAACACGCAAACAGCTCAAAATACAAGCAGCCCGTGAATTCTGGCGTCACACGCGGCACGATGTGCGCTGCTGATGGCGAAGCCTTTTTTGTAAAGAAAATCTGTTCAAGGCTTTTTCTACAACACTCACAGCTGTGCATCGATATCGTCGTCCGGGTATAGGTAGATGATGGTCTTGAGACCTAGCCGCTCGAGGAACGGGTAGTTGATTTCGTTGGGTAATGCGGACCGGTAGAGACCCTCCTCCACGAGACCAAAGCTCACAGGAGGGAAAAACATCACGCTACTGGTTGTTGCTCACCACCAGAGTGCACTGCCCCCTCCGCAAGCTAATCAGCAAGGTCGAGTGAGTGGGCGAGGCACGTGTGGGGTGGGTGGTTGGCATGAGTTGGCTAGTTGGCATCTGGCATTTTGAGTGAACGGGGGGGGACGCAAGGGTACCTATGCCCTCCTCGCCCCAACCCACATTTGTTCGTTGTGCCCCCAACTCCCCAACCGCTCCAGGCTCGGGCTGGGTTCCGAGCACGAGCACCTCAACCCTCCCTGCACAGCCCGCCCCAGTTCGGAATCCACACGCACACGCGCGCCATGGTTTCCGTCCATTCTCTGTGCCTCTCACTAGTGTATCTCGGCACGGTAACATCGTTCGTAACTCCATGTGCTTGGTGAGTTGCCGTGGACCCAAATCATGGCTCGCGGACCGTGTTCATGTTACTCCCGTACGGTTGTAGGGTGATAACATGAGTGGAGGTTTCTCAGTCTGTGTTTGTGGAGCGCAAGTTCAAGCATTCAGAAACAGTGAAAGTTCGATTGCAGAGAACTTACTCTCGGTGTGATCCCGGATGGTAGGCTACCCCTTCCAGTGACAGAGTGTAAAATTTGTTCATGTGTGTCTGCGAGTACATGCTGCCTCTGTATCGACGTGTACCTGCCGTTGGTCGACACAAACCAGTCAAGGAAAAGACTTCAGCACCTCCCTTCCGACTGCTTTGGTTATATCGTCATTACAGTGTATCTCGGACGGGTAGTCTTTCTGTGAGGTTCTGTAAACGTTTTACAAAAGGAAAATGAGCCTCACTCTCTCGGGCACCTGATTGATGGTGTTGCAGGAAAAGAGTTCCTGGAACGGCCCGAAGCACCCATTCTGGGCAATCAACCAGTTTGAGAATGGCATACGGCAAGGTGTTCGTCGCTGGCGGTGCCAAGGGGGTAGGACGTGCTGTGATCGACAAGCTGGTCGACCAGGGTTCTGAAGTTGTGGCTCTGGTTCGAAGGGAAGACGCCAAGGACGAATTGGAGGCAATCAAGGGTAGGTGGATAGAGTCCGATCTCAAATGTTTTTTTGTTATTTAATTAAAACCAAACTTGGGCGTGTGCCTGATGCGCACAGGCAGCAACACCGTGCGGCGTGTTTGTATCAAGGATAAACGCCTCCGCCTCCGTAACAGAAACAGCAGGAGCGTCTGCACTTTTGTGCTGACAGAAGATCCAACCCCACCCTTAGCTGATCTAAGGTCTGAGACCTCGCGTGGGTTCGCACGTTAAGTTGGTGTTCGCTTTGCATACATCAAGCAGGCGGGGTGGACACGCGATACCGCCCAGTCAGACTTGACAAGAATGTGGGGCACATCGGACCGCCTTCGCTGGAGGAGAGTGTTTTTTTTTAAATCTATGCCAGAGAGGGGTTTCAATTGCAAGGCCTGTGGCGGGGGATCTCAAGTCAGAATTTATGTTGGAAAGGCATTTCGCCATAATACTAGATGGGGGGGGGGTAATGAGCCGCGGGTGACGACTCAACACCTTGCAGTAGTCTATCTGCGACGCTGCGCTATTATAGGTGCAAGACACGCTGCTTCCAGGGAGCAACTCAGCAACCCAGAACACACAATTCAATTGCTTGCGGAATCATATTCAGACGGATCTTCCACGACCTTGTACCCGCTCCCGCTGGAAGTTTGTCGAAACTAGCACACGATACAAATCAACGGCGGAGGAAAACGAACAACACATGCTCGCCTCTGCTCCAACACTAGTACCGTCAAACGATCGGCACCTAACAGTACTGGCACAGACACAAATGAACTGTGGTAGCTTACATGAGTGTACTTGTAATGCTGCTGCTGCTGCTGCTGGAATGGCAACGACTCCCATCTATCTTTCGTTCTTATTCGGCAGTGCATGCATGCGAGAACAACACCCTGGCGCCTAGCACCAACACGGCTCTCTTCTTGTGCATTTGTTTTGGCCCTTGGCGCAGAGTTGTTTCCAACGTGACCCCTCCCCACACACCGAAGCAACACCAACAAGGGTATCCGCAACGAGCTTTGTCCATGCTCCGACTTGTGTCGTGATAAAACACCGACCAGGAGGCTGTAGTACGCTCAGAAATTGCGGGCGCGAGAGTCTGCATTGCCTGCGAAAAAAGATGCCGTGTCGGCCTGCTGGGATCAGTTTCTACAACTTTTTATCACGGAAGTTGGGACCTCCATCCACCTCGTCTACGGGAGCCTGCCTGTGTCATCACTGTCTTTGAAACGGCCAAGTTCCCCACCATTTTCCTACTACTGTAGCTTGTCAGAGAATACTGCATTTCGTCCACCCGACGTTGTTGGTTGTTTCCCTCCCGCAGACTGGCGGCTAGAAATAAAGCGTCAAGCATTAATTCAAGCCCTATTTTGGTATGGGATGCAGGTTTTCCAGGGATGTTCACGGCGTGGAACCGCACCTCGGTGCAGTTTTTGTTTTTTGACACGATCACGGTGCGGTGAGGTGCGGTGCACCGTTTCACGGTTTTTCTTACGGTGTGTTTTTTTAACCCCGTGATAAAAACCGCGCGAACCGCGGCCTTGGCGACGGTGCACCGTCGAAGAAAACAGCCGAAATATAACGGATATCCGTGACAAAATGACGGGGTATCTACGATTTCGTGGAATACGTTCGGTTCAGTCCATCGAAAGCAGAATTAAATACACATTGTTGCTGTGCATGGAGGCCGCCAACGACAAATTCCGAGGCTTTGCGATCAGAAAACAAACCCGAAAACCCCATGCACGATGGGGCACCTGCTGTACCATTCACCTCATTCACCTTACGTCCCTGACGTCCCTTACACGCATCAACAGCAGTCACATTCCTCACTTTCGCCCCTGCTGCTGTTGGAATTGTTCCAGTACGAATAGAATAGTAAGCACAACTAGTTCTGGCAACGCCAGGCGGCTCAGTTCACAACCACCCCAATGCGTCCCTTCCACACTCAGTCCGAGTCGCCCTCGACAACCACTTGCTCTCCCTCACGAACAGCTTGGTTAGACAGATGCAGCTTTCGCCTTGCCCGACGTGCGTCTCCATGAAAAAACAGTGAGTTCAGTGCGGTTTTACCGCGGTCTTGGCGATAGAGGTCAAACCGCATCTTGATAAAAACCGCATCTACGTTTCCTTCTGAATCCACACGGTGCGGTGCGGTGTGGTTGTGTTCATTTCGAATTGTGACGGTGTCGTGCGGTGCGGTGCGGCTTTCCCAAAGAGTGCGAGGTGAGCACGGAAGTAAACGCGGATCAAATGTTTTGATGAATCGCAAAACTGTATCACGGAGCAGGACGGAACTATGCACGACATAAAAGGTGATCTTGCACTTCAATCTTACTCAATGCAGGCGTTTCGGCGGTGGTCTGTGACGCCTTGGACCTGAAGGGGGTTGAAGCGGTTTTGGACGGCTGCGACGCTGCAATCACTACCCTTGGAGGAGCCCCTGAAGGCGACGAGAGCAAACGGGTAGACTACGCAGGGAACAGAAACGTGATCGAATCTGCGGGCATTCTCGGCATTACTCGAGTCGTGATGGTGACGAGTGTTGGGTGCGGCAGCAGCCGTGAGGCAATTAGTGACCAAGTTTACCAGGTGAGCGGCCTTCGCTCTTGGCTTCACAGTACAACAGAACGGAAGCAATGTGTGGGTTAGGTAGCACACCGTTTCAAGGTACGGTGTGACCACTTATTGTGCGTTCCAAAATTGTTGAACTGTTTAGGACAACTGACCTGACCTGAATATTTACTTACTTACACTGCTGTCCCCGAAAGGCCATTTCTGGATCATCAACAAGGGGAAACCTTACGGAAGCCCCATCCTGTCATTTCAAGAAGAAACATTCGATAGAGTTGTCAAGCAAAATTGTCGTGCAGCCCACTGTCGACTCTTCTACATCCCAAAATGGAAAAGGCTTCACTTCACCTATCTACAAACTTGAATCTCTCGACTATTGCTACCCGCAACCTCTAACGGTGACCACACGAGTTGTTTCCATCCCTGCGACAAGCTCAAGAGCAGTTGGCATCGGCAAGCCATTGTTAGCCATTGTTGGCCATTGTTAGCCATTGTTTTTTTCATTCGGCCGGACTTCGACACCAATCCGATGGGTTTTTTGGCGGGCACTCGACTCTCGTGAACTCAATATCTGAGCGTTCTACGTTGTAAGACTACTAGCCTCTTATCTCTATCTAGCTAACCTCGCAACTGACGAACTAACTTGGTTGCGAGAGCTTCCTTGGTCCAATCAACACCAACACCCCGTACGATTGCGAACTTCCCTTATCCTATGCCTCCAGGTTCTTGAGAAAGCTTTGAAGGCGAAGACCCTGGCAGAAAACATGCTACTCAAGTATTACACCAACTCAGAGTGGACGATCATTCGCCCTGGGGGACTCAAAAGCGACGCTGCCACCGGAACAGCTATACTTACAGAGGATACGAAGGCGGCAGGGGTGATCAACAGGGCAGATGTGGCCGATCTGGCAGTGCAAGCGTTGAACTCGCCTAGTACCGTGAGAAAAATCCTCACTGCTGTTGATCCGGCGGTTCAGAGCAGCTACGACAGTGCCGAGAAACCTGCGGCATTTGCGCTGTAGAATTTTACAAGGTTCGATAGAGTGCCTGATGGTTGCTTTAGTTGCGTCCATCCTTCAGTTGTGACTTGTGAATTTTTCATGCGATTAAACACGATGACACTTAGCCCACAAATGCCCTCCGCAAAGCGAGGTCAAGCATACGCATTCGCTTTCTTGCGTCGGTAATGATGGATACCTCTCCGTCCTGAGAGCCTGCCAGTAGGTACTCGTGGTCCGGAGACATCCGCATGCAAGTAACTCCGCCATGCTGCTGCAAGTCGATCGTGTGCAACACACACAGATCGTGGAGTGTGTGCACTCGAATCACGCCGTCTTGCCCCCCCGCCAACAAGTATCCCCCCCCCCCTGCTGTCAAGAGACAATTTATCGTCGTAGGAGCCACGGCAGTCGCCAGTCTGGTCCCGTTGAGGCTATATCGATGAAGAGAACGGTCAGTCCAGCTGTGCACGACTACATCGCCGTGGCGGGAAAAGGCCAGTTGGCTGGCTTCCGGAATACTGGCTTCAGCAGCGTCCGTAGCAGTTGGCGAGCCCGTACCGCAACGGTACTGTCGTACGTAGCAGCCGTTCTTCAAGCAGTGCAGCACTATCCGACCATCGCTCGCCCCCGACACAACGGTATCCAGGTCCTGCGTCAGCATTGGTTCACTTCTTTGATAACAAAATTCTGCGCTGTAGGTGTGGTACGGAGCGCCGACCAGACGTACGTTGTATGCATAGACGGTAGAAATAACGAAAAGATACAGATGTACATCAGTACGGGCGATATTTGTTGGTCGTTAAGTGTGCGAAGATGCACACAGGAAAAGAGAGAGATGAACCAAACACACATGCTCAACAGTGAATAGCAATAACACTATCGACACGTATGATACAAGGTGCTTACCTCCGAGACTGCCAGGCACGTGATCGGGGCTTCGTGCCCGTAAAGTACGTGCACGCATACCATGGAGTTTTTGCTCGATGTCCCCTTCTTTGGGATGACACCACAAGCGCTGGCCCCACCCAGAGCCGACGCCATCGGGGCGTTGCCCACCACCCACACTCGGCAGGTGGCATCCCGTCCCCCCGTGACCAGTAGCGAGCTCTCCTGTGCAATCGCTAAGCAAGTTATTGCACCGCAATGTCCTCCCGTTTCTGAACCATCCAAGGGCAACTTGCCGGCGGAGTTGACACGATGCAGTCGAACACCATTGTCCCAGTACCCACATGAAAGAAGTGACTCTAAGCCCCCATGAAAAGCTGTGCACAGGCCGAAACACGAGTGCACGCGACCGATAGCCCGTGCAGGTACGTCTGGTGTTCCCACCCTCCCCCCACTTGCCGATGCACCAGCCACTGAATTCCATGGGGTCGCGTTCCACCCGAAAGAGGTCGCCGACCCCTTCGTCGAGGTACGGGTGGTCTCCCCGCGACCCCTACCACGAGCGACCAGCACCGGTCCTCTCGGCGCGGATTGTTGCGCTAAAACGTTGCTCATGTGTAGTGAACGAGACGATAAAGAAGTTTCTACGGATGGGCCCAGCGTGAAAGGCAGCCCGAAACCGTCCGGGACTCCACTCCATGTCCAAGTGGTGACGCGGAGTGTAGCATCCACCGACACCAGACGGTCCTTTGTGCAGTACACTAGCAGCGCCCCGCCACGGCCAGGGTCGTGCGGCCTATTCCCAGCAGAAAACACCTGACAACAACAACCGACAAACACATCATGAGAGAACGCATGCGGTACCCCTTGCCACGTGCCACTTTTACGCCGACATATCAAGCGAGCTGCTCTGACTACAGGGATATACCCCGCAAACACATCCTCTTGCCTCTCTACTATGCGCTCAGGGATTCGGCACCCGGTTGAAAGCACTTACCCTCAGGCTAGCCAGGGTCGACGTTGGGCTGAAAATGGGTAGCACGCACTCCTGAGGTGAAATCAGGTGTGTAGTGCGGAAAAGGTGGGGTCGGCGCGCATCTGAAATGGGATTTTGAAGCTTGATTGACGGGATTACTACGCAAACAAAGCGAGTTGTCTACTACGTGTATCGAAGTGATTCGATCCTGGACGACACATACGGCATTTGCCACTTTCTCTCACCTCTGGTGGCAATCTGATGGGGTGTGGCTCCTTCAACACCTGGCTAGGAGTCTGCCCAAAGTGGTGAATTTGCGCCTCCATGGCTTCCCTCTGACGATCGTCATTCACCTGCGGTACGACACAGGCATCATCTTTCCGACTCGACCACCCGAACAGGTGTTGCCAAACTACAGCGAATAGAGCTGACATGTGTGGCCAACGCTCTCACTGGAACAAATACAGTATGATCGGTTGGGCACAACCAAAAATTTCAGGTTTGAGAGTATCTTGGATTCCTGCCGCACATTCGTCACAACTACCGGGAATTGACACAAAACATATTCCATCGCATATAACACGCGTAGCGGGGGGGGGGGGGGTTCTGCGCGCAAGGGGTTTATTCGAAAAAACAAAATATGGGGAGGCAAGAGACTTGACAGAGAAACGGAAGACGGAGGCAACCCGAATCAATTGAAAAAAATTGAGTCCCTGATGTCTTCCTCGATACCTGCAGCCCATGCTCAAATTTGAAGACACCAAACGAAGGATGCGAAAATTCAATCATCACATATAGATCTTACATATATGTGAGCGTGAAGCATCACGCCATCGTTCAGCTTCGTATGCGATCGCGAAGGGCAGATGCTCCTTGTTCTATCGTCTCACCAGAGACAGGTCGACCGCACCCTCGTAGGTCAGGTAGTAAAAGACGTTGGCTGCTTTGACAGCCTGATCTCCGCGTTGCTGATAGCCGAAAACTAGGTCAATCCAGCGATGAAGATTCCGTGAGACTTGCTCTGACTCAAGTGCGAGACGGTGAATGCGCACGAAGTCAAACGCATCCTTCGCCCATGGCGGCAACTTCACATCATCCACAGCACCCTTTTCGCCCTGTCAAAGGCAGTTCGGAATCTTGGTTAAAAGTAGGAAACACGAGCTAGGTTACACATTCCTGAAACGGACGCTCACCTACTCAAGCTGCTGTCTGTCAAGCCGAGGTGCCTAACAGCAACACACACAACACGTATGTGTACCTCGAGGAATAGTATCGCACATGAAGGTTCACCTGCATCTCGCCAAGCGGAAGCTTGTTGGCATTCAGAAATATTTCAGGGCAGTAGAAAAACTCCGGAGTGAGTTCCTTCACGTCTGACATCGTACTCTCGTCAGTGCACCCTTTCCAGCTTTGGCCCAGGTCCGCGAACAGACGGTCGGGGCAGTCGAAACGCCCGCCCTGTCCACAACAAACCGGTGGGCGAAATTTGAGGCATTGGGATGGTCCCGGTTGATCCCATGAAGAGCGATATCGGAGACAACCTGCTGGACTTCACATGACCAGGGGAATCATAATACTTTTTTGAGGCGCGCCGATAGGGGGGCTTTTTTGCTTCAGCAAGAACAAGCTGATCAGAGGGATGGTGCAGAACATGTACGTACGTGAAAAAACAAAAAAATCTCGCGAGGGGGGGGCAATTTTGCCAAAGAGTGTGTCCGTGCAGCGATAAATACAAGGGAGATTGGAGCCCATTCACCATCTAGGCACCAAATTGCAATCTTGTGCACAACAAGCAAACATTTTTCCCGAGCTGGCCCAACTGCTCCCAGCTCAATCCGTGCTCTACCTGATGATGATTGAACACCACCCCCCACTCTGTAAATCACACTGGCGCTCCCAAACTCAACAATGCTGCTGTCTGACGGTATAAACGAGTCAATGGTAACAACGCACTAGCCTACTGCAGGTATTTTTCCCCACAAAAAAGGTATTCCACCTCCCCACGTAGTAGAAAAATAAAGCGCCGTCGGAGGGAATGGATTAGCTCTTTCTCGCCCATACCGGCTGTGCCTGTTGTACCCAATGTCTGAGAAGCTGAAACGTCATATTGCACAACCCATTCCAAGGCCACACTAAAGCGATACAGACAAATTGTTCAGAGGCTTGCTATACCCGAGTTGCTTCTGCCGGGACAAACAAGCAAGAGTCACAAGCCTCGGTGAATCGCCCTAGACTAGCCTACAGAGTTCTTCCGCCAGGAACGGCATATTGTTCTTAAAAGCTGCAAGACGCGAGGGAACCGCCTTTACGTAAAAAACATGGTGTGGTCGGGGAAGCTTGACGGCAAGAGTACCCAGTTCGCCTGAGGACAAACAAAGGGAAGAGCGCCACTACTGCTCTCCCACCAAAACACGGTTTGTTCTCTTACGCATCGTTTCACGCGAGCGGCAGAAATAATCTGTATCTACTTTTGTTCACCTGCAGATTGATGTGCAGAGTGGTGAACGGCTCCTGACGCACGAGATAGTGCAGAACGACGCCAGCGCTGCTGTAGTGGGTGCCGTACATGAATTTCGGCACTGTCTCATCCTCGAAGGAAGCGTATCTGGAGGAGAACAATAGGAGAGGACAACCACAACGAAATGGATATATCTCCAGTCGGCACGCGTGACGCCCTACATGTGTACATGCACGCCAACACAAGCGAATTGTTTGAGACCATAGTTGAAATCAGTAATACCTTTGCAAGAAACGTTGCCTCCGCCGCTCGTTCTGCGCCCCCATTGGTTTGCTCAAGTCTCTGAACGACGCCGGATTGTTGAGATCTAGCTCGGTGGACGTGTAGTCTGCAAGCACCCAAGGAAACACTGGATACTGGGATATGTCGTTGTAGGAGCGCCCAGCAATCACGTTGAGCTCCATGATGTACTGGAAATTAGAGATCTGACGTCGCCGCCAAAGCTCCGTGAGCTTGCTGGCCTTGAGCACCTGACAAGCGACAATCGGAGAAGGGCAGAAGCTTCAAACCATCTACGTAACCGATTGTATATAGAAGGCTACATTTACACATAGGCAATACCCCAGAAAGGTATGACCACGTGCGTACCTTCCTCGGGTGGAGAATTCCCTGCCGTGTCAAATCTGGTAACATGGGCAGCCTTCGCTTGCGCAAGTGCCTGGTGAACGCTTGGCGCCCACTCGTATCTTCGAAAGCAAGGAACACTTCCGGAGAGTCCGCCCAAAACAGTTCAACAGCCTGTGGGCTGAGCAAGAACCGCCGAAGGTGTACCTGCCCAAGATCACAAGATCAAGCAAGCACAGAAGGCAGAGCATCGTTGCGATACATCGAGGTGTTTGAAGCCACCGTTCGATATTCAACCACACATATGAGCGAAACTCGGCCATGGTGCTTAGATTGCCAAGTGTTGGACTCAAGAACGACAAGAACGAAGTTGCACAAGTGCCACCTGCGTCAGTCGTTCCAACCGCCAGCACCAGGATTGCCCAACATGTTGAGTCAGCCAAGCCACCGTCGCCTCTTCGCCCCCCTCGCTCTCATTGGGCTGGCAGTGAAACACCAGGCTCTCTTCGAACAAGTACAACACGCCTGGCAGTGACCCTTGCCGCAGCACGTTGGTGGCTCGCCATTGGCCGCACAAGCGTTGCGCCCTCCCGGGTGGATGTATGTCTTGCCATTCGAGGTGATTCGCAGCCGACTGGGACGCTGCTTCGATCTCCGCCTGTGATGCACTCAGGCGAGAAACATCTTGCCACTCTGCAGGGTCAGCGTCTTTTTCCGTGCCAGTACCTCCGAGGCCAAAGGAGTCGGCAGGGGGTCGGTCGTATGGTTCTACCTCTCCGTCGGTTTCCTCTTCGTCGTCATCGACAAAGCCGAAACTTCCTCCAGAGAGGAGGGATGCGCTAGGCTTTAAATTAGACACCAATCGAGCGTCACGATGTACATCATCGTCAGATGTGAGCAGCTGAGATGGATTCCCCGAGCTCGGTGTCGTCCCTGCGTATGCCGCATCCTTGTGGCTCACGTCTTCGTCAATAGGAACCAGCAGCATCTGCGAGCTCACGTGGAACGACGATTGCGAGTCTCACTTGATTGAATGAAAAAAGCAGCACGGTGTGCGTCATAAGCACAGGTTTTCGTGGTCGCACGGAGGGTGCGCGTTCAGCAAACTGCTCACCTGGCGCATGAGTTGGTCTTTGTGAGACGACACCTCCCATCCAAGCGGGTTGTGGCTCTCATGCTTGTGGTCTCCTGCTGCCCAAGGTGACCAAGCAGCAGAGAGAGTCTGCAGGCAGCACTTGAACCGTCGCCGAGAAGCGAGCAGGCGGCAGTCTGTCTCGACTTCGCGCAACGCCCTAGACTTGAGCGCCTTTTGCCTTAGAGTGTCGTAGACCTGTCGTCAGCGATAATGGGAAGTGTAGCTGTTTCATATTCAAGTGATACGGTGGTTAACCGCGGTTGGAGAGGCGGTATCTCAGCCTTCAGATTGCAAAAGCATTCAAGGAGCTCGGAGCGACACACTCTTGGACCATACGGTAGAGCGGGCAACAATAGCACCTTGTGTTTGATTTTTTTGCACACAGCGCATGATGACGAGAGCAACGGAAAACAATCATTATCCTGTAACGAATCAGCTACAGCTGGACCCCCCAGGGTGCCGTTCCAGAAACACAAATGCTCCAACCTTGTTGGCCACGCCGTCAGTCGAAGCCAATCCGCCCTTGCTCGCGTGCGCACATACTGCGATTCGGTTCTCACGCTCTCGCCATCTTCGGGTGCGCTCTCCCGCCTCCCTAACTGCCCGATTTTCGAGTTCTTCCGCAGTCTGTCATTGGGGGAGTTGGGTTGCTAATTGTCAGCTTGTGGCCTTACGAAAAGGTTCCTGTTCACAGTGTAGCTGCCTCTCTCGTGCGCCATGTTTGCCAGAACAGAGAACTTTAATCGTGTTTTATCATTCAGGTCAAGGCTCAAGGACAGTACCTTCAAGCTAGGCATGCAAGCCTCCAGCAAAGCAGCCACTCCACTTGCACGTGTGGCGCTCTCTTCCGTGGATGAAAAGAGAATGGTTGTTTCCATCCACTTCAAACTTTGAAGAAGGTGATCCCAGCATCGCCGAGCTTGGTCAGAGTGTAGCTCGAGAACATCATCAGCGTTCGCGTTCTCGGGTTCTCCGAAAGCGTCCTGTGGCTCAAAAGTGGTAGCTTCCACAATGGCGCACAACAGTTGTTCACCGAGCCTTTCGCTTAGCAGATCCCGCCGATAGATGGCAAAATATCGAAGTAAGGCAAGCAACACCGTCCCGTACTCGTACGCAGCACTCGCATCCACAGCCGATGGGGATACCGCAGAGTTGGTGAAGTTTTCATCGGCGATAGCGTTTCTGGCTTCGGCGATACATCTGTACGAAGTACCACCTACGGTCGTCGCCTGGGTCTTGAGCCGAAGCAGAGCTGCATGAACGTGCGCGAGTACGACGATGCACATGTTGTCGCTCTCGCTTGAGAGACTGCCCGCTTTCGAGTGCCAGCCGTCACTCAGGAGACATTGAACAAGCGACGCTAGCCTTTGCAAGTTCTCTTGGGCAGGCCTAGTGAACGGATGAAGATGGACCAGTAGGAAGACGCTAAGGCGAAGAAGTGGAAACATAAGCGGCCCTTGGCCAGAGACCACGCTACGAGCTGTACAAAGCTCAAGCAGAGCCAAGGACGCCCCGCCAGAGAGAACTCCAAACATCCCCAGAACTCTTGCTGATAGAGCAAGGCTTGCATGCCCGGCAGGGCTTGAGTACAGGAGGAACGGAATGCTAGCTGACGCTTTAGATGCTCGTATGGCTTCACCATCACCCACAAAACTCGGTTCGTCGCCAGTTTGCTTTCCGTCTTTCCCTGCATCTTTCCCCCGTCGGAAGAGGCCTAGGGTCACCGTAGACACGTCATCGGACACGACGTTGGCTGCAATGAAGGCAAGGTGAACCATGTTGTTCCATCGTGGCTGCTGAGGCGTTTCCGCTTGTTCGCCTTCTGGATCTCCGGCATCGCTTGATGAATCTGAGAATGACTCAACCCGCAAAAGCGGCAACGAAAAGTCGGAGTTTTGTCCCACCTCAAACGCCAGCTGCGCCAGAAGAACTCGAACAGCCTTGCGCCCGTGAGGAATCAAATGCTGGAGACTGAAGAGAAGCGCGCGGGCCAATACGGCCGGAGAGTTAGTCGTTACACCACATTTCATCGAGGTTTACATTTTTGCTTGTACAACTAAGGCTGGGATCGACATCTATGTACGCCAAATGTTTGGGGTGGCACGACTGTCGCGCCATATGAGCAAAGTACCTGGAGGCTACTGCGATCTCCTTGTACCCATCCTCATCGAAGGAAATCGCATGTTCCAGAAGAATGGCGTAGAGCCGGAGCACCTGCGAACAAATCAGAAAATTCGAGTTCCGTTTTTCAGTAGGCAAAAGAAGGCATTCATAACCACAGGCTCAAAAAACAAATCGCGGGTTCGAAACCTAGGCTCGACACTTGGAATGGTTTTATAACGGAAAGACTCGTCAGAGAACCTGGAACATTCTGCAGGATGTGGGTGACGAGCGCAGAAAATGAAGCTCAATATTGTAGGCATTGGATGGATAGCGGTGTTGGCGAGGGTAGTCACCCTTCTTGGAATGAAAGTGTCCCGGTCATTCGGACCCCATGACTACCTTCTTTTCAGAAGCCGAGTTTTAGCTTTTGGACTTGTCAACGAATGGTTTGATTTCGGCTTCTAAGTACAGTTGCGCCCGCGCAGCACGAAGGCTGAAAGCTGACTTTGACAACGCCGACTCACCATCAAGTAATCCCCTGTTCGCTCCTCATTTCGGAGGTCCTCATCTTCTCTGTCCAATCCTGCGCGGTCATCTGCCGCTCTTCTCGCCGGCCCAAGGAGATAGTTGTTGGATGAGAGAGGTGCGCACAAGACCAGTTTCAAAAGGATTCAAGCAACTCCATTTGCTGGACTGGTCCGCCGGTGTTGACTAGGGATTGGGACCCTTAGAGTGTGTGTGTGTTTTCGTCCTATTTATTACGGCGACAGTCCCCCCATGTTTCGTGGTGAGACGTGTACTACACTTGTTCAGCGTATGTTGAGTACTACACTTTTCAGTGTATTTTTCGTACAGCTACAACCATGCAGGGTCGCACAGGAGGGGGTAAACACCAGGGCTTTTCTCTTCATTTTATTTACTTTCATGCCCCACCTTCCTCCTGCGGTGCGTGCTGAATTTCATGTTCATCGCGAGAGGAGTCCACCCGTCCTTTTCCCTCGTCAACGGTGTTAACGTCGAAGATTGGTACTCACGAGAGCTTTTTCAGCTATATTTCGCTTTCACCCGCACAGTTCGCAATTTTTTCACCCCACGGGGATTCGAACTCACGACCTCTGCGACTAGCGGTTTTACGAGAATACCACTATACCACCGGGGCGATCGGTTCAGAGTGAACAACGAAAATTTCAGCCCAACAAAGCAGGCAAACTGTTTCGGGAAACGACAGTGTGCGCTTTGCAAAACACACACGAAACGTTTCACCCCCGAGGCGTACGAAATTCGGCACACCTTGAAAAGAGTGGCGCCATCATGAGGAACATGCAGCGCTCCCAGATACCCCAGAATTTCCCCCTGTTCACAGAAGAAAGCTCCATCACCTTCTCACGGTTTGCCCTGTTGAGTTTCAGCATCAGGAGCAGATCTCCATGAGACCGCTCCTGCACGCAGAACGAATCATGTTGGGTAAGATCGAAACCACACTTGCCTCAATAAGAAGCTGGTCATCGAATGAAAACAACGGTGTCGCTTGGTCATAGCGTACCACTCGCGTCGAGCAAGTATCACGGTCGTGAATTCCGGCGACGAGTTTCAGAGAGATTTTATTTTTATCACGCACATTTAGACACACCTGTACAGAGCTCGCCATTGTTGGTAGATGCTGAAGAATAAGAGCGAGTGGAAGAACGTTCCGTATGAGCTGCGTATCATCAAGCACGTGGCCCTTCCCTCCGCGAACATCTGCACCCCGCAGGTCATGGTCCCACCAAACGCCGCGCGCGAGCTCGCCATCTTCGGTACTTGTTCCCTCTGGTGATAAACCCTCCTTCATCTCAAGGTCGCTGCTGCTGTGCTGTCCAAAGCGGGAGTTGGAGTTCACGATCCCAACAACATGGCCTTGCCCAGACCACGGCACGTCATGCTCGTCCCCTAGCAGCGCCATTTCGAGAAGCGCGGCGTAGGTGCTCTCACCTAAGCTATGTCGATGTCGCATCAGTCCCTCCGACAGAATGGGGAACACCGAAGACACTTCCGTATGGTTCGGAGGAGAGCATAGACAAGGTCATTCCGGGTGGTTAGGCATGGGAATGAAACCCACCACAACACCAAATCGTTTTCGTTACATTGGAAGAAACTCCATTTAACAAACCGCAGTACGCTGGGAAACTCGCAGAAAATTATGGCAACCATACCTTTCGAGCTCATGCTTTCGCCTCCAGGTATTGAGGCATCCAACCCGTTTACTTTCGAAAATCGTGCCATAAAGACATTGGAGGCGCGCAGCCCGGCACCACGTAACTCTTCTGATGTCCCGTTGACCAAGACACAGCGCTCGAGGACGAGTGTTACAAAGCCTGACGTGCGATCGTGAGAAGTTCGCAACACAGAACAAGTCAAAGCACAGCAGGGGTGCCTAGACAAAGTCAATCACCAGGCCCTTGTGCAGGCTACATACAACACGGACACGCGTGCTGTGGTGCGGCTACCGCAAGCCGAGTCTAATCAGGGTGTGTGAAAGAAAGGTTGAAACGCGCAATAAATCTATGTCCGGAGTAGAGTTGTTGAGGAATGGTGCGCGCCCGACATGAAAGCGGGATCGAATATCAAGCGTGTAAGCTGAGCTGTACCTGTACGCGGCGGACTTTGTGTGCGAGTCGTTTTTGGTGTTCGCCATCCACTCCCGCCAACTCCTCCCTCGGCAAGCGAGGCCGTCTCCAGAGCCCAAAATAACCCACTGGGAGGCACAGACTTGCGCATCAGCGAACCTAGCATTTGCACAAGTTCACACACCTGCAGGGTATGGGGCAGGGGTCAGCACCTCATTGGTGCCATCACTCGGTCTTCCAGACGTGGCAGCAACAATACACACAAGCGATATTTCACACGCAAAATGTAAAACAGCAGTATCTCACCAGTCGTGTGTCGTCGCAGCTCACGACAAAATCAACTAGAGCTTCTCCATCTTGTTCACGTACTTCTCGCTCGAGCAGCAACCGCACAAACTCCCAAAGGAAACCACGCATGTGAGTCCTTTCCCTCCGAAGCATACTGCTCCACTCCCGGTCTGTAGTGCTGTTCGTGTCAGAAACGTCAGCCGAGCTCTCGCTTGTTGTTTCACTACCAATGAACCCAGATACGTTGTTTCTGTCCTCTTCATGCGGCCGTCCAGTTTCAGCTGCAATCTGGTCTGGGCAGCAAACACGAATGCTTGTGAGAACGCTTTCTAACGGCAACAGTTGCCGAAATAGCTCCGGTGCGCCACGAACCATATCCAGCACGCTTGTCACCAAACCGAATTGGAACTCAGGAGGAGCCTGTGCCCATAGAGAAAAGTTGGACAGAAGGCAAACCAGAATCTGGTTGTCCAGGGAATATATCCCCGCCCGAGGTCGATACGCGTCTTCGGCTAGACCCGGCAGTGCTTGCTGAATGTAGACAGATAGTTGATGCGACCGACACGCCCAGAATATTCTCTCAAGGACAAGGACGGTATGAGCCCCCGCCTGCGCAAAATATTTCTTTGGGGCAGACTGGAGAAGGAGCTCCAGGATCTCCGCGCCTCCGGCAAAAAAGAAATCACCCTGGTCACGGGGGATTGCGCGGAAGGACAAATTGGTCGCAGCATTTGTTTTCTTTGAGGAAAGCCGCACGCTACAATGCGATGCGTGCTACTCTGCAAACACAAGCACACACTTAGATCGCCATGTACGAAAGGCAAAACTGGGTTTCGCACCTGATTCGCGATATTGCCGTCGAGAAAGCTGAGCAGCACGGACAGCACAGTATCCACATTCTGCCCTGTCGCGGGGCTGGCGTTTGGTGTTGCCGGTGGCCCTTGTGGAGTATCCGACAGCAGCTCATGGGCCAACGAGAGAACAGTGAGCGTCCCGCCAATGCTTTTGACGACGTCTTGCGAATGGCGTGTTATCCACACGTGGGTAGTATCACCCCGTAACAGCGCGTGTTGCCCGTTGTGCGGCTCCAGGCATAGTCCATTGATGGTGCGATCTGGCAAAAGAGCTGCGAAAACTCGGTATTTCGAGCCAAAGAGTCTTCGTTTGAGGCGTTGTTGAGCAGAGACGGTGGCGGTATCATCCCAAAGATCCAGATCTGGAGGAGTGCTTGCACATGCATCAGCGTCCTGCTTCGTGTCGTCTATCCGCCCTGCCAATCGACTCAGCATGGACTTCACAACCTTTTGTTCCGCCACCGCTGATAGTAGCAGCACCCCCGACGTTTGGCCATCTAGATCCCATCCAATGCTGCAGTGAGCAACGGGCTCCGATACATGGCGCGGGTAAGGCACGGAGGAGGTAAACAATAGCTCTTCGTCGAGGAAGACCTGCATCCGGAGCGACGTTACAGGCAGTGGCAAAAGAACCACAAGTGTGAACAACGGGAAACAACAAAATCTGGTTTGTGAATGCACAGCATCGGCGTCATTTTTTATCCATGCATCGAGCGACTACCGCATCCAACACGACGCTCAGCACACACACCCATTGCCACCCACCGTCTGCAGCAGTATACCATACATATAATATTTGATCGTCACCCATGAATGCGTGCCTTTGTGCTAAACAAAGCTACTTGCCTCCAGGTGATCTTTGTTGAACAGGATTGTGCTGAGTCGCCTGTGTGAAATGACCAAGGAGTGCCATCTCCCGCTCATTAACCCCGCGTCGCCGATGTCAACGACGATAGGTGGCATGCGCCCGCTTCCTTTGCCATGAGCAACCTCCACGAAAAGACGGGAATCCTGCATGGGATCGGACAGACAGCAGCATATGCAGCGATCAGAAAGAGGGGTGCTAACAAGATGGTTGACGGCAATCTTCCTGTGGAAACTTTCTGGATACAATCAAATTGTAGCAGTGTATAGCCCGCGGCACAGTGGAGCGGGGATAGGGGATGGAGGAGGAGAAACATACCCCCTGGACGGAACGTTTCCTTGCAAAGCTCTCATTCCTGGTTCGAATCCGGCCTACTGCTGTATAGGATATAGTCCTACAATCCCTAACCGAACATAAACAACCAGAGCCAAAGCTATACTACCATGTTGGACGTAGTAAGCCAAGCCCGCGGCGCAAGAGGGTAAAAACGATTTGGTGTGCACGGTTAGCGCTACGCATAGGTTGATGAACGGTGAAAGGCTAGGTTGCTATGAAGGTAACGCCGAAGGCGGGACATGTGAAACGCTAGCTTGGTCTACGTGTACTCCTAAGCCGCGCCGCAAAAGGGGCTAAGGGCTCGGTTGCTGTGCACGGTAGGTGCTCGGTTGTGGTAGAGTGAAAAAGCTACAAGCTGCTGTGCACGAGCCCCACCTATCCAAGGTATGTTCCGAGAAATGGTACCGTAGTCCGTTGCGTTTCCAACCAAGTCGTGAGGGCTGATCTTGACCATTTTGGTGCCCCGCCGACACTTCACGCTGGCACCAACAGTGAGAACAGGAAGATTCACAGAACTGTGGGAGTAAAATGGTGGCGGGTCCTAACCGCTTTGTAGCAAAACCAGACTCAGAGTTTGAGTTGAGTGGTCGGCATAACAACGAATAGGCTGTGGAGGTGTTGAGGTGCTGGTATGTATTTGTGCGGAGATGCGTAGTTAGGGCTACGGCCAGTGGCCTCCTTGAGAACTGCGCGGGCCGACAGTTGTGTGTGCCGATGTGGGGAGATGGGGCCACGGCCAGTGAGCCCCTTGAGAGCTTCGCGGGCTGGGAACACCCTACCTTGTTGCACAGACTCGGTGGAATGGTTGCACACAGGCATAGAAAGCGAGGGCACATACATGTGTATGCTGCGGTTATATCGTTGCGGCACTGGTGGCAGCTTGCTGCTGCTGCTACTTGTCGCGCTGCTGTTGGTCAGCATGCGAGGAGGGAATGATCTTCCGCTCAGGGGTTGATGGAACGTGTGTGGTGCGCGAGTGTGAAGACTGGTGCTATGTTGCAACGTGGCGTGAAGGTGATATCGCTCGTGCACTCTTTGCCATCTATCCGCCAGTTGACCGAATTTTGGTTGCCTTTGAGAACTGTCAGTGCCGTTACGCTGAACTGTATATTTTTTTTTTTTTTTTTTTTTTTTTTTTTTTTTTTTTTTTTTTTTTTTTTTTTTTTTTTTTTTTTTTTTTTTTTTTTTTTTTTTTTTTTTTTTTTTTTTTTTTTTTTTTTTTTTTTTTTTTTTTTTTTTTTTTTTTTTTTTTTTTTTTTTTTTTTTTTTTTTTTTTTTTTTTTTTTTTTTTTTTTTTTTTTTTTTTTTTTTTTTTTTTTTTTTTTTTTTTTTTTTTTTTTTTTTTTTTTTTTTTTTTTTTTTTTTTTTTTTTTTTTTTTTTTTTTTTTTTTTTTTTTTTTTTTTTTTTTTTTTTTTTTTTTTTTTTTTTTTTTTTTTTTTTTTTTTTTTTTTTTTTTTTTTTTTTTTTTTTTTTTTTTTTTTTTTTTTTTTTTTTTTTTTTTTTTTTTTTTTTTTTTTTTCTTTTTGATTTTTTTCCACAAGATAGTCCGGGTGTTTAGACCGACAGTATTGCTTGCCAGAACTTCTGCCAGAAAAAAATATAGCGGTCTTAGCATCATTTCACCCGATCAAACAGGGACTTCTGTGGATCTTCCAGTTCTAAGTGTTGGTGTCAGCGTCAAGTGTCGGGGCACCAACATGGTTAAGACAAGCTCTGAGAACTACAGATCAGAAAACAATTTGAGTTCCAAAACAACTTTATTTTAGATCACATCAAATGAGGTGGAGTTTTCATCACACACATAATGCTGAAGTCTACCATGGTCCCGCTGGTGGAACGGTTTCAGATGGGTTTCATCGTTGCATCGTACAAATGAAAGATTGCACTGGCGTCTTACTATGGCTATTGAGGTGGCGGCAAAGACACGTGTAGTTGAGGGATGGATGTTAACGTTGCTGCCGATCGAAGAGTACCTGGATGTAGTAGTCCATACCAGCGCCGGCGTCCGTAGTAAACGTGACCAAGTGTGCTTTCCTCGTCCCTCCTCCTTGCGTGGAAGGAGGTTCTAACCCCGTGGATTGTTCCACTCGAATCCAGGCGACGAACTGATACTCATGAGGAAAGGGCCAAGCAGCAACGGGAAGCAGTAGGCCTGCCCCATCTCCACCGAAGGTAAACAGACTGCCGATGGATGCACAATCTACACCCTTCGGCTTTTGTTTCCCTCCACCCGGGTTCCGCCAGGAGTGGCTCTCGCGTGATGTCATTGCCGAGAGGGCATCTAAAATAGGCGGTGTCAACACAGATGGCACACGAAGTTCGTGCAGAAGGCTCTTAAGTTCGTTGACCCCAATGCCGGCAGAGCACACCATACCAAGGACGCGGCCAAGGACTCCGATCGCGCTGGCTTGGTCCTGTTGTTCTCCGGCAGCAGTTGGGCTGTCCTCGGCATGTGCCGAAGTTGCAGAAAGGCCCCGCAGCAACCCGAGCACACGCCGCACAAGCTGGCCGCCCTCGCAACTAAGACGCAAGCGAACCACGGAGCAGTGACCAGACCTCAAGCCTTCTTCTAGCAAAACCATGACTTGCCGTTGGACATCTCCTGGAAGTGCCATGAACGTACTTGCTTCCAGGAGTGAACACAAGGCGTGCCCAGCTCGCCGATTGACCACAAAGGTCCGCGCTTGGGTGGGCTTATCTGGATCACCCTCCTCATGGTACGGAGGAGGAACTAGCAGATCGCCAAAGATGGTTCTGTATTCGTGCATCCTTGGCCTCTGTCGCGGGCGTGAGGGAGTGCAACCTCGTGGCCTCGAAGTCGTGACAGGCTATACGTGACACCCCACCTATTCCGTTACACAACGGCGGGTCGAATCTCCGAAAACCAGGTGGGACGCCTTGTTGGAGATCGGCGGCAAGCGGCAAAATGGTTGCCGATTCCGCCGACGATGCTATACAGTAGCGGCTACGGTTTAAGAGAATATATTAAAGAGAAAGTACGTATTTAAGAGTGGCACGCGGGGGTGCTACAGGGAGCTGAGAGGTTTATGGCCTCTTGGCACAAGGGCGAGGAGAAGGCCAGCCGACAACGAGCCATCAAACGAGGAGACAGCGGGCCCAAAAAAAGTCTAGATACGGCACCAATCAACGGGGCGGGAGGGGGGCGGGAGGAAACGGCGCGGGAAGAAAGCAAGCGAGAAGAGACCGACCGCGTGACGTGACATGTTGCGGTTGAATTTCAGCGACTAGTTTTTCTGTTGCCCTCTCCCCCGTTTGCTGTCGCGTTCAGACTGTCTCTAGGGATATCCCTGTCTCTGTGCGAGTTTGTTTGTGTCCTCGTCTTTGCTTTATTCTGTTTTATTTTGTCTTTTGTTTTGTTTTTTACTGGCACGTACCCCCGCCCCTTCCTTTGGCCGTCGACCTGCCTCCATGTAGTGGGAGGCTACCCCCCCAGGCTGGTGGTGCGGCCGTTCCACTAGTCTAATTATTTATTTTATTTTATTTTATTTGTTTCTGATTATATTTTGTTTTCTTGTATTTTATCGCTCTGCTAACCCTTGGGGTCCATTATTTTTTCGTATAC